TTTCACAGCAGGCGCATTAAGGATGGTGCTTATTTCACCTTGCACTAATTGTCTGGGCTGTCCATTGCACTGCTGCAGCGCCTGCATGGCCTTGGTGTATGGTATGGGGTCATGGACATACCTCTTGGCTATTTGGAAAGCGCTGGGGAATTTGAGATGATCTAACAGCACTTGGAATTTATAGTCTTCAGACAGGTGATAGTGTGGACCTAATACCCCATCTAGCCCTTTCTTCAGCAGCTGGAAATCACTCTTTCCCAGTCGTGAAACTGATTAGCTTGGGCCGCGGAATACCATATGAGGAAGATATGGCCATCTCCATCAGGTTTGGCATATGTGCCGCTGGCTGGGACTGAGCGTGCATAGGCACATTATTATGAACTGGCTGGAGAAAAGAGTTTGGATAGCTAGTGGAGTCAGGCAGATGCGTATGGAGAGCTGAGTGCTGAGACATATACTGTTGGCCAGCCGTCTGAGTGGGATGCTGTGATTGGAGAACAAGAGGCTGCCCCAGAGGGAGTGAGTTTATGCTGGGAATCATAGCAGGCCCGTGCCGTGGGTCCTGTATAGGATTTGGATGTGCCTGAGGAGGAGCAGGTTGCCAAACATTATAAAAGTGGTGATGGTGAGGTGATGGTCATGCAGTTGAAAATGCAGCAGGCTGCAGCTCCCTGTACTGCTGTTGCTGTAGCAAAGGTGGATATGGTAGGCCAGCTGGAGCAGATCCAGGCCGTGGCACCAGAGGGTAATGCGCAGCTGAGACAGGCATTTGAGGAAAGGGGACGTGATGTCTTGGGGAAACAAACCCTGGAGGTAGTTAGACTGGAGCTTGTGATGGACTGAGGAGAGATGCTTGTTGCTGACGAGGTGGCTGGAAAGAAAAGGGCTGTGCATTTGGAGGCAATGTCTCGAACACAGCAGGTGATGACTGCACCGAGGTAGGTGATGTAGGTAGAGGCATATCCGCACGGCCTTCATCAGTGATGATTGCAGGTCGTCTGATGTCTGAAGAGAGGAGAGGCAGACTAGCAGCACGGCCAGACATAAGCTGGTGAGCATGTGGCGTACACCTACCGGGCTCCAACGACATCTGTAGTGTGCTCTGTAACATCCTGACCTGCTGCTGTACATCCCATACACACTGTTCCATTCTGCATAATCTGTCCATTTCATAGTCTTCTCTCATTTCAGTCCAGTCTCTGTTGCTGAAGCAGACCTTGCTCCATGTTTGGTGTCCCTGTGCTGCTCTAACTGCTGTTCATTCAGCTCTGTGTCACTGACCGCCTCACAAGTGCCGCTGCTATAGACAGCTGGCGTGAAGTCATTTCAGTGCGCATGTCACAAAACGAGATGCGTTGTGGGCAGTGTTGGGACTAATGCATTACAAACCAACACGTTACTGTAACGCAACTACCTTTTGCGGTAACTAATATCGTTACTAGTTACCTATTCCCATTCAGTAACGCCGTTATAGTTACTGTGATTTAAATGGGTGCGCTACTGCGTTACATTATGTGATGGAACTGAACCGAATCTCCCTGTGGATGTAACTTACAGGCGAATACAGTGATGTCCTCTCACAGCACCATGGAAAAGTGAAAGTGACCAGAGAGGAGTGATGATTGGTTAACGCGGGGTAACATTTCAGGGTAAGCCAATCAGAGACAGAGTTGGGCGGGTCTTGCCTTATGGGGAAAATACACAGACACACAAACACTTGCTAACACACACACATACACGGCAACGCCCACCACCAGCACACACACACACCACACACACACACACACACACACACACACACACACACACACACACACACACACACACACACACACACACCCACACACACACATACAACACAACACACACACACACACACAATGGCAGATGCAAGTATCAGCGAGCATTTACAACTTGGAGATATAACCACTATTTTCAATTTGTGGGGATAAAGGACGCAAAAAATATTACGGTCAAATGTAAACTGTGCAGGACAAAAATAATTGTCCACATCGAATAACAGCCAATCTCCTGAAGCACCTAAGTAATGTACATGAGGCTATAAAACTAGTCGCCAAAGACCCCAACGTCTCAACCACCGGCAGTGACCCAGATGGAGCAACACCATCTAAACAGTCAAAACACGATTTTTTAAAATCGTCACATGTCACCCAGAGCCAACTAAATAGATTGATTGCCAGGTATGTTGTTGAGGACATGCTGCCCATCGCAACGGTCGAGTCTGTTGCCTTCAGAGAACTAGTCAGCAAAAAACAACACAAAAACTTGTATTTTTATTGTCATTATTTTTAAAGTAAAGTAACTTGTTACTAGTTACTTTTATAATTTAGTAACTAATAAAGTAACTAGTTACTTTTTTGAGAGCAGTAACTATAACTATTACAAGTTACTTTTTAAAAGTAACTTGCCCAACACTGGTTGTGGGCCACATACAAATTAGGTGGTGGGCCTTGAATTTGACACCTGTGGGATGTTTAAGATTACCACTTATATATTTAAGTAGAAGCATGTTGTCTTTAAGGTTTCCTATAATGCTATCTTTAGGCATATATTAGGGGTCTCAGATATATACTAAAAATATATAAAAAACATGTTTATGATGTGTTTTGCTCAAAATACCAAACAGATCAGGCATTTTAGACATCCCTCATATCCCTCTATTTCAGGCCTGTTAGAGAAACGCTGATTCTGGGTCCTTATCTTGAAAAAAATAAAAAAGAGGAGGTTGAGCTAATGCCTGCTCAGAATTCTACGAGATACAGCTAAATGCTGCAGTGATTAGACTCCATATCATGTTCCAAACCACATCAAGAATGATTTCTGAAACAGTATGGAGCGCAAACTCTTTTTCTCTCTCAGGTTTACCACAACCTTTTTTTATTTCTTGCTTTTTTACACATACTCTCTCCAGTGCAGGTTAGCTCTGAGTGTTAGCGATGCTTACTAATGTAAACAAAGACCATATTACGTCCAAAACACGTTGCGCAATGTTTCTGATAGCAACGTTTCTGATAACGCCGTGGGTCCGCATGTCAGATATTACGTCATATCGGACTCAAATCTCAAAACTCAAAAACAGACATCACAACACGTTAGGTAGCCAACACGGCAATATGTCTTACCTTTGTTGTTTTCTGATCAAAAGTGGTCTTCAATGGCATTAAAACGATAAAAACGCTGCTGAAGGTTAATCCAATGTGTCTGTCACTTTGAAATGATTTCTGATAATCCATCAGCAATAAAACTAGTTTTCAGATTTCAGAGCATGAGACAGGTTTGGATTTGGGCAAACTGCGTGCGCATAGCTCTGACTTCTCAATGGTAACGTGTGTGTGTATATGGAAATCCCCCTTCGATTCTATTGGCTCTAACGGTTCAAAAGAGATGTCAATCATCAAAATCGAACAATGGATTCCAGAGAAACATCAAATACGCCCATTTCCACCCAAATGAGTGACCCCAGAGGTGGGTTTTTTTCTTCTAAATCTGTCTAAAAAGGTCAAATGTCACTTGTTTTGCATCAATCTTGATACAGGGTACTTATTATATGTTGTACTTTGGATTCCTAAAGGTTTTAGTCTACTAACCCATCATCCAAGGGTAGTTTTCACTATAAGTAATGTTTTTTTTACGGACACTATAATTTACATTTTTGTACTACTACTTGGGGCTTAACAGGTTAAGCTCTCATTATTCTATTAACCTGTTAAGCCCCAAGCCTGTTTTTCAGGTCTCAGGCTCGAAAATGAAATGTTGACATTAAACCTGTGAGTTGGATGTAGAAAAGTCAGAATCAATATAGATTTTTTTTATTTTAAAGAAAATTCAGATTGAACATAGTAAAAAAATGTAAATTATAGTGTCCGTCCAAAAATGATTTTTTTACTGGTTTTGAAAACCACCCTTGGATGATGGTAAGGTAGACTAAAAGCTTTAGGAATCCAAAGTACAACATATAATAAGTACCCTGTATCAAGATTGATGCAAAACAAGTGACATTTGACCTTTTTAGAGAGGTTTAGAAGAAAAAAACTCCACCTCTGAGGTCATTTGGTTGGAAATGGGCATTTTTTCCGTTTCTCTGGAACCCATTGGTCGATTTTGATGATTGACATCTCTTTTGAACCGTTAGAGCCAATATAATTGAAAGGGAATTTCCACATACTGTACACACCAACGTTACCATTAAGGAATGAGAGCTATGCGCACGCAGTTTGCCCAAAGCAAAACCTATCTTCCGCTCTGAAATCTGAAAACTTAAAACTAGGTTTATGGCTGATGGATTATCAGAAATCATTTCACACAGACACAGACACATTGGATTAACCTATGGATTAACCTTCAGCAGCATTTTTATCGTTTTAATGCCATTGAACACAACTTTTGATCAGACAACGACAAAGGTAAGACATATTGCTGTGTTTGCTACCTAATGCCACGTGTTGTGAGGTCTGTTTTTGTTTCTCATTTCGCGAGTTCTTATCATGGAGTGATGATACAGATACCTATCGATTCTGTGTACTCTCACGATGCTAATCGGTGGGTTGGATGTGCATTTACGATAAGTAATAAGGGTTATATGAGTGAGCTCTGTTCTAACGGCGTTAGAATTTTTCGCTCAGGGCTAATTCAGAGGCTCAGCGTTAGTCTTGTGGTTTTTTTTGCTAAAAATTGTTCATATCATCAGTTAGCTGAGTTTCTTCCCGTTACATGGATATGAAACATTCATAGTTTATTAAATATTAAGAAGCCCTCAGACGCTGTTTCCTGCAAATGATGCGTTTTTCCACCCGCCGGCGGGGGGATGGGGTTTAACAGGTTAATGAGAGCTATTTTTCTCTTTCTGTATCTCACAGTTTTTAACCTATTTGGAGTTTCCACTTTCTAAACTTCTTCAGCTCTGGACAGATTATGAAACCTTGAATTATTTAAAACATGGACATTGTTTTCTAAAGTTACATCATGTTTTCTTCATATAGACTGGGTGGCTGCAGTTTGTCAGAGATTAGCTGTTCTGCTCTGGCCTCAGCTCTGAAGTCCAACCCCTCCCACCTGAGAGAGCTGGACCTGAGAGACAATGATCTGAAGGATTCAGGAGTGAAGCTGCTGAGAGATCTTCTGGAGAGTCCAGACTGCAGACTGGAGACTCTCGGGTCAGTTCACTCACTCTCTGTTACAGCTGGAGATCTCATGTGTTTCATTAACAATTGAACCACTTTTTTTTTTCTTGTACTACATTTAGTCTGCAGTCATAACAGTTGACTGTTTCTTGAAGGAAATATGTTAGATATGCACTTTTAGTTGTTAAAGTATATTTATGTTTTCAATCTTTAGTAAATGTTCAAGTCTGAATAAATAAGGTCATCTGAACTAATATTAGTTTTACATTGATAAAGTTTACTTTCTGAAGTATAGATATTTGTCTTGCTTTACATTCATTTCAATGTGTTTTCACAGATAATAAACAGAAGGCTGATATTATGATGATCCACAATAACAGAATGACAAAGTCACTGTAATTCAGGGAAAAGCTAATTGATTAGAACACAGGAATGTTGAGTTAAACATATTAAACTCTGATTGGATTATAAATATATTTTTATCCTCATCATGTGTTCTTTATTCAGACTGAGGAGCTGCAGTTTGACAGAGATCAGCTGTGCTGCTCTGGTCTCAGCTCTGAAGTCCAACCCCTCCCATCTGAGAGATCTGGACCTGAGTAACAATGATCTGCAGAATTCAGGAGCGGAGCTGCTCTGTGATCTTCTGGAGAGTCCAGACTGCAGACTGGAGACTCTCAGGTCAGTAAGGGGTCGACTCAGTCTCTGCTGGTTCATCAGTATTGTATTAAACACAGTGAGGTGTTTCTCTCACTGGGGAATCACAACAGATCAGTTACCACTGACTGCAGTTGCTCCTTTTCTTCTTATTTATCTTATCTTTAATTATTTCACATCAATAGAATGCAAGCTTACAATGCAAAGCCACACTTTAGATAGTAAGGAACTTTCTAAAAGACATGAAGTGATTTTACAGAAGAGTGGGAAATGTATTCTGTTGTGTTTCCTCTCATGTTTTTAGTTTCTAGATTAACGAGCAGTTACTTCCTGTAATGCAGCTAAGAGCTGTGGCTGTCAGTCGTAATGTTTGCAGAGAAGATAGGATGGGATTTAAAGCATTGGATCAGTCAGCACTCTGAAGCTGACTCAAAGAAGAAACACTTATTTTAAACTGGATCCAAAACTGTTGGTTTGTGTTCATCCCTACAGGATAGATGGCAGAACGATCACAGCCAATATACAGAAAAAACGTGAGTATTGGAACCATATCCACCATTCATCAAGATATTGTACAATAAAATCGGAACTTAAAGTGGACCTATCATGCTATATTTGAAAACTATATTGTTGGGCCATACCTTTACAAAACATGTCTGTGAAGTTTTTTGCTTAAAATTCCAAACAGATCACCCATTGTAGCCATCCCTCATACTGCTCATACCCCTCTATTCCAGCCCTGTTCCAAAAAGGCTGATTCTGCTTTAAATGGAACGGCTGCTGCTAGCCACGCCCCTTTGTAGCGTCAGGCAACTTTCCCCTGCTAAGAGAGATTTCTACCGAGAGAAACTCAGCTAAACGCTGCGGTGATTAAATGCCATATTATGTTCCAAACCACTTCAAGCATTATTTCTGAAACAGTATGGAGCTCAAACCTTTCTCTCTCGCAGGGTTTTCCACAAGGACATTACGTTACACATATTCTCTCCAGTAGCCTGCGTTAGCTCTGAGTGTTAGCATGCTTGCTAATGTAAACACAGACCATATTACTCCCAAAACACGCCGTGGATTGTTTCTGATACAGCACATAGCTTGACATGTTCTTCCTTAAGTGTTTAACGCTAGAACAGTGCCATTATATGTATTATATATAACAACTTAACTCTAAGTGCCTCCTGTAGACATCCTGCTGAATACACAGACACACAGCTTCGACTGTAAACGGAGATTATAGGTTGGGATGTGTCCCGTGTGCCGGAGACGATGGGTTGGGACCAGGGCTCGAGCTTAAGGACGTCCCGTCGTCCCGGGGCCGAAAAAAATAGGGTCGGGGAGGATACAAAATAATTTTGGGACGAGAGTTAAAATAAAAAGACCCTGCTAACTCTACGAACGGCGATGAAAATGAAACTGACTGCACGTTTTGTGTAGCACACAGTTATTAAACCTCCTTGTCAACATAAACACACACAACACATTTAGCAACCCGCGAAACACACACACAAATGATGCAAATTTGCGGGTCTAGCTATGTACTGAGTGTGTGTATTTCGCGGGTTGAGTGATGTACAATGGTATCCCGTGGAGGAATTCTGAAATGTTTTACCGTTACATCACAAAAACGCACAGCAGAACCAGACCCTGGAGCGCCGGCCTCTTTATTTACTTACTCCTCTTCATCCCCTATGGGTAATAAGGCTGAGAAGAGAACTCTCCATCGTATTTAGTCCTTAGCAATATGCTGCGCCTCTCCCCATGTAGGGATGGGTACCGAGCCCCGGTATTAAACGGGCCCCGGGCCGGAATTAAAGACAGTGGTAACGTTAAGCTCCGACGTTATCAGACTTTTTATCGTACTGGAGACATTTAAAAAATATATGTCATATGTATTATTGCTACATACACATTATATCGCAGTTTTAGTTTCGCCAACTCCGTTTCTAATATGACTTCAAAATGCGTCTATGATGTATTTTCGATCTTATTTTCTAGCTTTCCAATCCAGACGAGATCTCTCTCTCCCGTCTGTGTGCGAGGGGGCGGGGCCGTTTGTAAAGGTCTCCTGACTGTGTTACAGACTGTCATCCTGGTTAGTGGTTACTCTGGGTTCTGTCTTCAGGACACAGTGTTGGGTTTTTTTGTTAATTGGATGGGACTTGATTGGATTCAATATTAGAGTAACTTTCTCGTTTGTGCGTTTTAAAAAAATATATATTGGCCTTTGTTTATGTGATTGAATGATTTACTCAAATAAAAAGGTTGATGAATTATCATCTAATGATTTGTATGATGTTTTATTCATGTTAAAGGTCACTTTGAATGATTTTAACTAATGATAATGTAGAAAAACTAATATTTTTAATTCCGGACGGTCCACATTAATTTCGGGACGGTTTGTTTGTTTGTTTGTAGTCTTTATTTAACCAGGTGAAAATCCCATTGAGATCAACGATCTCTTTTTCAAGGGAGACCTGCAGCACATTGGTTACACATAAAAACAGCAGAAAACAAAAAGGACATCATACAACATAATTAAAGGGGTATACATTAGCAACCTATTCACAATGACAGATATCTAATAACATTTCATCAATCTGAGCTTTAAAATGATGCAAGGGAACCAAAATGCTCAGCTTCAAAAAAAAAATTACATAGTGTTCCAAGCTAGAGGAGCAGCGCACATAAAAGCTTTAGTACCTAAAACAGTCATAGCACTTGGCACATGTAATAAAAAAACTAGGGCCGGGACTTTAACGCGTTAATTAAGATTAATTAATTACACAAAAATTAACGCGTTAAAAAAATTAACGCATTTTAATCGCACTTATTTTTGCACCGCGGAACGTTTCTCACTGGATGAGTTTCAGGCGTACCGATTATACTGGAGCACCAACTAACGTTCATGACTTCAGACAACAACAAACCACAGTGAACAACATTTCCCACTGTTGTTTTAAAAAACGGACGGATGGAAGCGTCGATAAGAGCACGGTTGTGTGCAAATTATGCAAAAAGGAATTCGCATATCACCGCAGCACATCAAGCCTCAAGTATCACCTCAATGCAAAACATATAGCAGCTAGCGTGGAAGCTAGTGTGGACGTTAGCCTCTTTTATCGCGTTCACACCAAAAAGAGCCGGTACTAAAATTAGTTCATGAGAACCTTTTTACCCCCACGAAAGTCCCTGCTAGAGAGCAGGGTATTTCGTACGGCTCTCTTGTGAGAAAAGACCTATATGTCTGATTGGCAGGGCGGATTGCAAACCACGCCCCGTAAAACTCCCAAAAAGTTTTGTGAAGCCGCCATTTTATTATCCTCGCATTAGCATTGTTAGCATTAGCATTAGCCCAGCGCAGAAACGCAGAGAGACTAACTTATGGCAACACAAAATAAAACATGGGAGCGGTGGAGATGAGGAGGTGTCGGCGTTCTGGCGATTTACTCGGAAGGCTTCAGTAGAAGCTGCTGGGAGTCCCAGCAGCTTCTACTGAAGCCAGTCCCCAACCCCGGGGACTTTGGGCGGCAGTATATGCCGTGAAGTGGTTTGCGGCCTGCCAGTAAACCCAAAGCAGAAGAAGAACAAGTGACGTCAGCGGCTTCATTTGCCTAATCCACCCCCAGGTTCAAAGAGTTCTCATGAACTAAGTTCTCATGAACCTTTGTGGGAAAAGTACTGCGGTGTGAATGCGCCTAATGGTATACTAAAATCCATGTGAAAAAAATTGCTTCTCACTGTTCTCAGGTCAAATATTTATATGTGATTAAAAATGCGATTAATTTCGATTAATTAATTACAAAGCCTCTAATTAATTAGATTAATTTTTTTAATCAAGTCCCGGCCCTAAAAAAAACACATCCAGGGATCTCAGGCAATAGCTACTTGCCACTCTCTGTGAGATCAAAGAGCATATATAAGTTGGTAGTTTAAACATGTACCAGTGACTGAGCCTCCGTACAGTTATTGAAGGCAGACCTGCCTTGGCATACAGGGTACAGTGATGAGTAAGTGCTTTACAGTTAGTAACAAATCTCAGAGCACTGTGGCATCTTAACTTTTCCAGGCAATGGGCAGGTGCATTCATATAGATCAGATCACCATAGTCCAGCACAGGTAAAAAGGTCACAGAGCCTTTTCCTGGCTTCAAAAGAGAAACAGGACTTGTTTCTGAAAAAGAAACCTAGTCTAACCCTCAACTTTTTAAGCAGATTAATGACCTGAAGTTTAAAAGTAAGACAATCATCAAGTCAGATACCTAGGTATTTAGGTTCCGGGAGGATGGTGAAAAAAGTTAGTCGAGAGCCCTGGTTGGGACGTGTCACGTGTGCCACATTTTGCCATTGACGTCATAGGAGCCAAATTCTGAATCTGCTTGTTTGCACCCCCGTTTTTTTTTTTTAGAGATGTGGGTATGGAGGAAAAGAGAGAAGGTTTTGTTTTCTGACACTTTGTGAGTTCCCTGACACACCGGGGACACATATTTATGTATAAAAGACATCAAAAAGTGCAGTTTGCATAATAGGTCCCTTTTTAAATGCATGCCCTCATAGAACAACAAAAAACGTTTTGGAATTCCATTTTCAATATATTCTTCTTTAAATTATTTTTGGCTGCCAATGTTTCTCTTTCTTTAAGTTGTATTAATATAATTATTCCTTCGCTGTCGCCTCTTCTCTCCATCAGGTGTCTCCGATGTGGAACAGAATGTTTCAACAGACAGAAAGGTGAGAGAGGAGCAGTTATGCAGAAGTATATTTATTGAGGTTTCACCACTGAATAAAATACACTATATAGAAAAAAGCATTGGGCCACCTACACATTACACCTACAGGAGCTTTTATGACATCCCATTCCAAATTAGTAGGCATTAATAGGAAGTTGGTCCCCCCCTTTGCAGCTATAACAGCTTCCACTCTTCTGGGAAGGATTCCTGCCAACTGTTTCCACACATTTGGAAGCATAGAATTGTCCAAAATGACTTGGTAAGATGAAGCCTCAAGAATCTCCTTCACTGGAGCTAAGGGGCAGAGGCCAACCCCAGAGAAACAACCCATAACATTAGCCTTCCTCCACCAAACTTTACAGTTGGCACAATGCAGTCAGGCAGATAACGTTCTCCTGGCATTCCCCAAACCCAGACTCGTCCATCAGACGGATAGAGAAGCCTGATTGGTCGCTCCACAGAACACGTTTCCACTGCTCCAGAGTCCAGTGGCGGCTTTACACCTCTCCATCTGACGCTTGGCATTGTGCTTGGGGATGTAAGGCTTGATGCAGCTGCTCGGCCATGAAGCTCCCGGCGCTCAGTTTTGGTGCTGATATTAATGCCACTTTTACGCACTATGCGCATCAGCGCATTTTATACACCTGTAGCAATGGGACTGAATGAAACACCTGAATTCAATGATTAAGACGAATGGCCTAATACTTGTGTCTATATAGTGTATAATTATTGCTAATTGTTTATTGGGATCCAGACAAATCTGCAATCTCAGGTTTTAATAACCCTATGGAAATCAACAATGATCTTCACCAGCGGTTTTCAAAGTGTGAGGCGCGCCTCCCCTAGGGGGCGCCAGAGAGCTTCAGGGGAGGCGCAGCGTGAGAAGAAAAATAACGAGAAAAAGATGAGTAAAGTCACACTTGCACACTTTTGGCTGTCTGTGGAGACCGAGTTCCCCCACCTCGCCAAAAAGGCTGTACAAGTGCTCATTCCCTTCAAAAGCAAGTGCCGGTCAAGGCTGCAGCCAGAGGATGATCTGTGTTTATTCCTGTGTGCATCAAAGACGCAGACTCATTGTTCCCACTAAAGTAGGGGTGAGTGTAATAAGGAGGCAACGTTGACGTTCAGTGTGTTGCCGGGAGCATATAAGGGTTTATCCACGATGTTGAAAATGTTAAAAAAATATGTGTTGTCGAGAACACGGCGTGCGAAAATATACGGGTCGTGCTGCAGCTAGATTTGCCTGTCCTCTGTGAGAAGGTGTCGGCGACTGACATGCAAGGAAGAACGGCTGTCCACAGGCTGTTCCAACTTTAACAACTGTATTAACTTCCAGGGTAGTGAATTGAACATGCAATTGTAATTGGGTGTGTGGTATATTTTCATGCACGCACACGCATGTTCCACAACACACAAACTGAACAACACTCAATTGTCCGATCGCTACCAGTGTCCTTGAGATCTTGTTATAACAACAAGTGCACGTCACTGATGCAATATGGTTGAGACCATTCTGGCTTATTCTAGAGGGGTGCAGGAATAGTCCAAGTAGTGGGGGAGTTTTATACAATATGTGTAAAATATAAAGATAGAAAGGTTTAAAAAAGTTATTGTTTAATGTTTTAAGGAGCCAATCAAATCGGTGCAGTCAGTGAGTCAGCACGATAGATTCAAACACAGAGACGAGACAAGAGGAGAGAAACAGCAGTGAGTAATTTCAAATGGCGGAAGGTAGACAGCAAAAACAGAGCATTTAATGACATTTTTCTCTTACTGGACCTCTTTGAAATGCAATTGAATACCCCTGCATTATAGCAACAACAACAATAATAATAATAGCAATAATAATTGAGAGAGGGGGGGGGGCGCGGCTGTTCTTATGTCCTCTGAGGGGAGGCTCACCTTCCCACACTTTGAAAACCCCTGATCTAGACTCATTTGAATTTTTCATTTGGTCTTACGATGTTATGCTTTGGTTAGATTTTTATTAAAATAAATAACTCTGTGTCTATCATAACTCCAGGCTCCAGTTTCCTTCTCACCTGAACACACAACTGAATCTTCATACAGGTAATCCTATAACCTGTTCCTACTGCTTTTTAAAAAGTATGTATATAATCATTTGTATTTAATATTGTGCTTTTCACCATGAGGTATTGTATTCAATCTCTTTCCAGCAGACATATATAATATAATGGCTCTATCTGTAAGATGGTATACAGCAGTGGTTCTCAACCTTTTCCAGTCACGACCCCTCAGAATAATCCGGTCGGTGCCTGCAATAAAAGAGGCTTTCTAAGTAACTAAATACTCTCCCATGCCGGTGGATGGCAGTAGGTAGCGCATTAATGACCTCTTTAATTTATGACAGTAGAGTTAAGTGATGCGCGGGAGAGGATGCAGTGACAAGATGAACAGTGATGGATAAATGTTTGAAAAGACTCTGAACTGGACTAATATAAATTCTGACCCAGATGAAGGGCCTAGTATGAGTTGTGGTCAAAAGAAAGTAAACATGATGATCTCGAGGCACAACTTAAATTATCAGGTGGAGCTGGCAGACGGCAGCTTCATCAGAACTCTCCACGTTGAACACTGCAGTCGGATCTGTGTGAAGCAGCTTTTTCTGACATGAATGAAATCTAAATACAGAACAAGACTGAGTGATGAACATTTAAATGACTCTATTAGAGTGAACCTAAGGGGGTACCCAGCTAGACATTTTTGGTTCTAAAAACATTCTGAGAATGTTACCATTCACGGTTCTAGGAATGTTTTCAGCGGGAAGTTTTCTTTTGGTTTCCAGAATGTTCTTCTGAAAGGTAGGATAACATTCTCTAAAAACATTCTTAAAATGTTTGGAGATAACTTTCTTAAGATGTCATTTTCTTGGTCCTTGATGTGAAGTTAAGATTTTTTATAAGCTTTGGGTATTGCAATTTCACACGTGTACAAAAGTAGCTTAATTCAACTGATGAGTGCTATGTGAATAAATGTGCTGTAAGCGATGTGATGCAAGTAGCTCTTGGCCACTTTCATTTTTTCAAAGTAGCTCTCAGATGAAGAAAGGTTGGAGACCCCTGTGTGTCTACAGGTTCAGGTGTCCTGGTCCAGGTGAGTTCCAGTGTGCTTTGACTGGCCTGGTGTTCGTCATGGCTCAGGAGGCGGAGCTTCTGTACAGGGCGGTCCCTTGGGAGGAGGGCCTCCTCCAATCAGCTGGCAAGCAGGCAGCAGGGCCGCTGTTCAACGTGGAGAGTTCTGATGAAGCTGCCGTCTGCCAGCTCCACCTGCCACACAGTGAGACAGAGGATGGTAAAGACATCTAGTGTTAACAAATATACTTATATAATGATTAGCACCTTATACTCTCCACTACTGTTTAAGAGTTTTGATGATATTATTGGTCTTCTTTCTTTATTAAAACTAGTTTAACAAGGATAACAACAGTATAATTCAGACACCAAAGGTATCACTTCAATCAAAGAAATGTATCGGTGCAATGCAGCTCTAAATACAGAGTTAGATTTCTTTGAAACCGCTGCCGTTTCCTCAGAGTAATATTAAGATGTAAGTGATTTAAACAGATTCTTCAGTTCAGAGTGCGGTCAGCTGCTAACTCAAGACTAAACTTGTGTTTCTGTTGTGAAGTTTGAGGAAGAACTCTGCTAAGCAACACAGTGCCTGTCGCTTGTTAAAGGCTTTATTGTGCACCTGACACTGAAACAGGAAGCTGTTCAAATCTGCACATATACTGATGCTAAGCTAACAGTTAGTTTTATTCTTCTTTCCTAATGCACCTGCTGTTTCCTTTACACTGTCAGTCTGGTTAAACTCTGTAAACAAAAATAATGAAAAAGGACACAATCAAGTTTTTCTGGCATCAGATTACAAACTATCTGGCGATATTGTTTTTAGAAAAAATAAAGTTCATGGAGTTAATGCTCACATCCAGACAGATCACAACGGGGACAGAAAATAATACAACGTTACAAATAACATGTGAAGGATATAAACTGGTACATGCTTGGACAAAAAAAGTATTTTAACTTTGAACTCAAGACATTGATTATGCAGAGATGAAGCTGTTTCAGCAGCAAAGCAACAGATGACCAGCTCTTTGCTCCACAGCGCTGCTCCTGGACGGCCTGTTGTCTGTCGGCCACATCACTGATGAAGGCCTGAGCATCTTGGAGCCGCTGGAGGTCACACCCACTCACGTGGTGGTGAAGGTGCTTCACCTCTCTCTCTTTGGCCTGGTCTGGGATAGCATTAAAAGGGTTCTGCTTCCGCGGATAAAGGGCAAAATTCTGCTGTTCCTGCGACCCCCGGACCGAGAGGAGCAAATACTGGATGTATTTCTGCTGCAGAACAACGTCCTTAAGGAGGAGGTAAAGTCAGCCTCTATTCATGCTCACTGTCAGACTAAACACTTGTTTTTAACCACAGATGTTTCCACAAAGAGAGTAACGCAGCGTCCACACGGCGGCGTGCGTTGAAGCTTGCCGGTGGGCGTGTCTGAAACTCGACCAACAACCAATCACATGAATCTCCCGCCCCGGACACACAAGCACGTCGTTTGATTGGCTAGATCTTGTACTGGCATATGATTTGATTGGCTGACGCTTCCGTCGAAGCTTCAAAAGTAGAACATTGCTCTACTTTTGAAGCGACGGAACCACAATGCAGTTCGGCAAAGCGTGACGTCACCCCATTAAAAGTGAATGGGCAGAAGCGTTGACGCTTCAACACACTTCGCCGGGTGGACGGGCTGTAAGATCTATCTGAACAGAATCTTCAGATGGTTCGATGGTTGTGGTTTTTTTGGATTCTCTCTCAGCTTGTATTTCTGTCTGCCTGTGTCATTTGTGATACTTACGGCATTATGGTAAACACAGCGCAAAACTGAAAGGCTTCCTGAGATGGATCACGTGATCTCATCCTTACTCACCATGTGTTGACGCTCGGGCAGCAGTCTTTTGTGTTGCATACATGCTATTAACAGAAAAGACTTCAAAGAGTTATGTGAGAAGTATTCTATATTCCACATCCCTGTTAAAAAAATAGCAGTATTCCTCAATAGCTTATTTCAAAGAATTAAAATAACTATTTTAAATGTCCCGATACAGAGAGCAATACATCCTTATTATTATGTTTGTAATTGATTGTAAATCTCATCACTCTGCGGTTGTTATGTTGTTGTGTTTTGATGTGATCTTTAAATCAATGTTCCCTGACTGAGAGCATGAACTAAAGTGATACAAAATGTCCTGTTACTGAAGGTTGCTGTCAAACAAGGAAGTGCTGTGTTCATCAAGATGTCCTCCCGCTGTGAGCTGGACATTGATCACAGTTACAGTGTGCACTGTGAACCTGAGGGCTTCCTCATTCAGCCTGAGGTGAGTCACTGATGCTCCTCTAAAGCAGTGGTTCTCAAACTTTTTCTGTCAGGCCCCCCTTTGGAGAAAAAAAAAAGTCGGCCCCCCCCAACACAAATAGTCACGTAATGGGCCAAGTTAACATTTATTAAAATACATCAATATGAACGTGAGCATTCCTTTGCTAGAACAGTGATAATAAAATAATGCTCCATAATTCTGTTTGGTCATAAAAATAAATACATAATACAATTGTGCAATCCCTTTGCTAGAACAATAAGTTATAATACTTTGCCACTTTGCAATCTGTGCAAAAAAGTGTGGCTTATCGCTAGTGGCTTCAATGAGCCTGTGTTCCACCCAGAGTTCCCGTTAGCCGGTAATTACCGGACTACGACCGGTAAAATATGCTGAAGACCGGCAAATCTAAATCTCTCCGGTCAAAGTGTCCGTTCAAAATAATTTCCGTTTAGCGCAATACTACATCAGTTGCGCAACTTGCGCCATTTATGTGACAGACAAAAGAGTATGTGACAGACAAGAATAGTCAACTCTAATGTCTAACACGTAATGTGGAGAAAGAGATGTCCTGTATGGGTTGATTGTGCGTTGATCTGTTGGTAATGCCTCGGGGTTCCGGTGGGCATGTAAACAAATGCATAATGCTGCGCTATACTTTGTGGCCTCACCCAGTTGCATAGCGACACTTATTGTGTTGGTGTCTTTTGATAAGCAGGTAGTCCTATCATTAGCTAGAACTAGCTGGATCTGATCGATATGGACATAAACGCGAGTGAAGTCTAATCTGACGGGAGAGAGAGATCAGCTGCTGCTGACGAGTCGACACGCAGCTCTGCATGATCACATGCAGCGGTGAGCGGACAAAACACACACTTCAGGTTAGAATATCACACGTAGCTATTTTAATTATCTCTCAAACTACCGTAACTAGTTATAGATATGTTTAGTTTTACTGTCGGGTCACTCATTACTGGATCCGCGAGCTGCATGATACTGACGGGCTGTCAGGAGAGGGAGAGCGCTCCGTTTATTATTCCCGTGTTATTGTAAATTACTGAACACGTTTGAATAATGTAGTTAATCTACTATAATTAGTTTGTTTAATATCGAATCATATCAATTGGTTTTAAAGCACAATAAATAACAAAGAATACCTTTGACCGGCACTTTTCTCATTTTGTCCGGAAGATTTAAACTTTAACGGACATGTTGACCGGCGAAAAAATATTCTAACGGGAACTCTGGTTCCACCGCACATTTCTTCAAAACGGGGTTGCAGGCTCAGTGGCGGCGCCAGAGATTTCTTTTGGGCGTGCTGTGGGGTAGCTTGACGTTTCATAGAGGGTGCTCAAACATTTAGGGTTTCCCATTAATGTACCGGGCGCTAGAGTGGAATTTTCTACTGCAACAATCCCCACACACACACACAGTGTACCCGCGACTGTTACAATGAAGGCTCGGTAATCAGCTCACGGCATATAGGTGTAAGCAGGGGTCAAGTGCTATTTTTATACGTGGGGGGTGGACCTCACCTCCTCTAGGAGGTTCCGGGGGCAAGCTCCCCCAGGAAGATTTATTTCTAAATATTGAAGTTAAAAGCATCAATCTGGTGCACTTTGAGAGCAACATTAAGAGATCTATGGATACCTCTGTCAACACCCAGATGAAACAGAACTGTAAACAGATTTTCTTTTTCTTTATGGATATTTTACAAATCACTCCCCTTTCAAACTTTATTCTTGTTTTACTGTCATATAGTATTTCATAACTGCTTTTCATTTATTCTCTTATTTTTGTATAACTATAATGATCATATAAACGTGTGCCTCGGAAATAATTGTTTACATTAATGGTGACTAAAACGTTTGAGACCTGGCCACTAGCTCGCTAGCACCAGAAGCTAACAACAACGATCTCCGGTACCGGTGCGCGCGCTCGCACTCGCTCGCACACAAAATGGCTCGATCCACACACACACACAGAGCCAAGCTTGAATGAAACACAGAGACCCAGACGTACTTGTACTGTACTGTATCATATTATTTTCGAATCAATAATTTTTCAAATTATGATTTTATAAAAAATAAAAATTCAAAACAATTTTTCCTCCTGGTCTCTCGCCCACCTGTCATGCCTCTGCACCCCCCACTTTGAGAAACACTGCTCTAAAGAAACACAATGATCATTAACACAGGTTTCGCTGCATGTGGATTCACCATCAGGAAAGAAACAGATACACTTTAACTTCTGCTTCTGGTTTCCAGCATGAAAAATTTGAATCAATGTTTGGACCAGATTACGATCCGACATTTGAAGTTTTCCTGACGACGAGAACAGAGAGAGTGGATTTGAAGGTCCAGGACCAAGGTGGAAATGAAGTCTGGAAACGGCACGTGTCACTGGAAGGTACAGACTCCAGTGATAGGCTGGATATACAATAGAAAAAGTTTAGCTTTAATCTTCCATCTCATGTCGATCTCTGTTAATGCTCCATGCGGCTTGCAGCGCATCATTACTACTTCAAACACACAATTACATCTTCTGCTACTAGAAGTCTCTGTATGCAAACAATAGTAAAAGCTGCTTGTTGTGGTTCTGAAGCAGCATGGAGTTTCAGTCTTCAGCTTCTCCCGGTTAGAATACCTTCAGTGTTCCTGGTTCAGGATGTTTTTAATGTCTCCTCCTCTCCTCATATATAGGCCGGTAAAAACTCTGAATGAAGCAGTTTGGTGTTTAAAAATCACAGTTTCTCCCTGCATGCTGTTCGGCTGATGCTAACATGTCATAAGTGTATGGGGAAATTGTGGTTACAAACTGGATAAAAAGTCATTTTATGACCTTTAGCAGACAGCATCGACGCATGACTAAAGGGAATACACAATGTCACAGGAGACCAGATGAAATGCACCGTAACCTTCATTAAAATATATAACAAAGGAGTAGTCGTTTTTAGACATTTTGATGTTACATAAAATAACTTTGAAGTGAAGAAAAATCCCCCACTGGGAATGTTGAGGAACATAAATATCTCTTTATCTCTGAGGGGGGAAAGTCATTCACAGAGTACATGTTATCTGCTGAGTGAACACTTTTTTAAATGTATTTTCAACTTTACTGTATTTTTTTTAAAAGTAATGTTACATAACAAAGTATTTTGCTTGTTTATCTTCCAGGTCCAAGACGGGAATTTACCCAGAGAAATGTCCCAGCAGAGGACAGAGTCCCAGCAGACCAGAGGCTCAGTGGCTCAGTTCGGACACAGTTCATTAACAGAGTGTCTCAAGCTGTTCTGAATCAGCTTCTGGATAAACTTATTGAGCGGGAAGTGATCACTTATTCTGAAATGACATCAGCCAGAGTGAAACCCCAATTTGAAAAAGCCGGAGAGGTGGTGGACACGGTGCGACGAAAAGGAGCTGCAGCCAGCAGGGTTCTGATCGATGCTCTCCGAGAGATAGACCCGTATCTTTACAGAGAGCTCGGCTTGAGCTGAAGCAAACGTGAGATGAGTGGAATCTCTAGATCAGCCGCCTGGTGTACCGTCTCACCTTTTGGTACAAACGATAATAAACGATGTATGAATGATAAACTAATTGCGCTAGGACTATCACATCATCCTATGAGGACAATGCTTTTCAGCGTTTATGATTTGGTTGCGGCTCTAGCTCAAATGCAAGTGATAAATGATATGTTGATGTAATCATTTAGTAGTAGACTTGTAAGAGTTTGTATCTTTATGGTTTGTTGGAGCCAATTTGCTTTGGGTTGTGCACGGGGTTTGTCTATGTGTGTGAACGCGTCATCATCCAATCTGCGCACCTGGGAGCACGGGAGGTAATTAAGCTTTATATGTGGGCACAGGTGATCAGCTGGGATGAGAGGTTAGAGAGGAAGCCACACGTTTTTCAACCGTGTTGACCGTGATTGTTTGTGTCTGAGTGTGATAGTTATGTTTTAACCAAGATTTTAGATAGGCCTACGTGAGTCGTAAAATAACATTTTAACCTTGGAGAAAGAAATAAAGCATTACAAATGACGTCATGGTGGACCTCATCCTTCACCACAACACGCGTTGGGAACTCTGACTGCTAACCTCGATGAGTGGCCTTTTTTGATGAGCGATCGCCGCTACATGGTTTATTGCACTTACTCTTCAAGTTGAGAATAATGTAATGTTATATATAAATAATTGTGAAAAAGGTCAGTTGGCATAGTGAGTACTTTTACTTAGTACTTTACATATTTTTTTTAAGCTAATACTTTTGTACTTTTACTTAAGTAACACTGCTACTGTTCTACACTGCTGTATTAGTACTTTCAATGAAGCTCTGCAAGGATATGAACAGAAGTTTTCCATTTGGTGTCTTGCTGAAAGAACAGCTTCATTAACGAGTCTGAAACACTAAACTGTAAACACACGACAGGTAACGATGAGGTTAATCCTGCAGGGGTCACAGATCTAATTGGTCTCATGTCAGATGTGAGTGCAGGTTCATTCCCTGACAGTGGCCTCGTTAGGCCCTGATTAAGCCTTGTTCCCTGTCAGCACAGAGGCCTCTAATTACCCAGAGAGCCTAGCTGTTTGCATCAGCAGACAAGCAGCAATAAGGAGTCCATATCTGCTGCAGCAGGTCAAAGGCCATTAGAGGAGACGCTTCTTCAACTTCACTGAAAGTCACTTTAAAGGTGAATGCATCCATTGCTTTAACCACTAGGACCACCAGGGGGCAGAACACGTCAGGACTCTAAAGTGCTCAGACTTTCAGAATTAGAACATTTCTCAGGAATTTGCTTTGGTGTATCGTGGTGCAGATATAGAAACAGTAACACAAATTATGATGTTATAAAAGAGCAACTATTGACATTTTATAAAGTAAATATGATCTCTAGTGAAAGAGCCCATTTAAATCATTAGTTAGAAAAGTAGTCAAAGATACATTTTCAAGAGGTAAACGGTAATGTGTAAACTATTTCAATCCAAAGGTAACTTTAACTTAAAAAGACAGTTTATGATCAAATATGTATTTAAGTACAAATTAAAACCGAGTTTGTGGGAGATAAACTCCCTCTGGAGGGAACACAGGGATTTTAGCCTTTGCAGACCATTTACATGCACTAACACCTATAGAACACTACAGGGAAGAGAAAAGAGCTCAAAGCTAAAAGCTTACTTTGCAAACAAGTATGAAAATATTGAACATAGGGATTCATGAATTACTCAATTAGTTGCAAAACCCAAGCAAGAAGAAGATAACGGTAGCCTACTATTTATTTTGTCCTGCAACAAAACAACAAAACCTGAATGAGGAAGGGTGCGAAAGCCTCTTGAACAAAGTAACCTCTGATTTCTGTTTACACTTTCAGACACTTAGCGAGGCTTTTACTGCGGCAGAGAAAGCATCAGCTGCTGCGTCTCTGGCATTAAGCGGGATAATTATAAGTGACGATATGAGCGAGGTCGGGAGTGAGTGAGAGGAGAAAAGATGAGAAACAGAGTAGTAGGGAGCCACAGTGCACTCAGATATCACAACAAGACACTAACACAAGCCTTTTGATTGTATTCTCCCTGCGTCACACTGCAGCAGCAGGAAACGTCGGGTTACGTAGTGTAACCCTTGTTATATTAGCACAGGCGGAGCCCTCTACTGGACTCTGGGTACTATCTTACCCCGCAAGCATTCTCCCACTGAGACTTCTATAGACGTAGCCGGCCCTGGGCGGGCCTACCTGAATGCGCGCGCATCACACCGTATAAAAGGAGGCCTCGCCTCCTGACTATCATCCTACACCTCTCTTCAGCGAACGGAATAGGACAGACAGTGCCCTGGGTAGAGGGCTCCGCCTGTGCTAATATAACAAGGGTTACCATACGTAACCCGACGTTATATCTCTCACAGGCTCCGCCCTCTACTGGACTCTATGGGTACAGTGGGTGGAGCCGCGATGTATACGCGCACTGTCGTCCAACAACATTCCACCCTACTGCCCCTGACCGGCTATTATGGTCAGCAGCTGCTGCCCCACCTTCTCCTTTAACCCGGTTGTAACCGAGGAGAAATCTGGGCTGTGGCTGACAGAGCACACCCTGCTGCGCTTACCTCGCAAAAAGTGTGCTCAAAAAACAGTGCCGGGGGACCCCCCACCCTGGATGGGGAGAGCCCCCTCGGCCCCGAAAGGGCTTACTACACGCCTGCCTCCCTGAATCCCTAAGGATAACAGGGAGAGCGCCAGAGCCCCTGCCCCACACTCAAACACTGACCCCGTGCCGAGTGTGTGGACTAAAGTGTGGAGGGCTCCCCCCCTCCTGCCTCTCGACAGGAGGAGAGCAGCCCTCCAGCCCTGTAAGGGCCCAGTGCGCCCCTCGCCCCTCCCGGGACCCTCAGAGGGCCCAAGAACAGCGAAGGCGCATTACGTCCGGGGAGGAGGTCAGATGCCAACTGACCCACAACCCCCCTCCCCCCAACCAGTCCTGTGTTGCCCCCGCCAGCACAGACGAGGAGAAAGAGCCCGACATGTCCAAGAGATAAAACCTTATGAAGGGGCCTGGCGTCGACCAAGACGCCGCTGTGCATATATCCTCCACACTCACACCGTTGAATAAGGCTGCCGACGCAGCCACAGCCCATGTGGAGTGCGCACAAACCCCCGTGGGGCAGGCTCTCCCTGCCTGTCCGTAGGCATGTGCAATGCACTCGCAGAGCCAGCCTGCCAGGCGTTTCTTGGACAGAGCTTTCCCGATCACACCGCCCCCCACACACACGAACAGCTGTTCGGTGCGTCTAAGGGCAGCCGTGCGCTCCACATAACATGCTAGCGCACGCACCGGGCAGAGGAGGTGCAGTCTAGCCTCCCTGGCCCCCCCATGGGGGGGAAGACTAAACCCCCCGAACTGAATAGCCCTCGACCTGTCACCTGAACGCACTCCTTAGGTTTTTGGGCACAAAGGAGGGGTTCGGTCTGAGTGTCGCGCCGCTCCAGTCACCCCGAATCAGTAAACAACTTGGGTGTACCGACAGAGCAGTTAACTCGGACACCCTTTTGGCTGACGTTAAGGCAAGAAGCAAAGCTGTTTTCCACGACAATGCTTTCAGAGAGGAGAGCTCCAGAGGCTCAAATGGCCCCGAGGCCAGAGCCTCGAGCACTAGGGGCAGGTCCCACTGTGGGGTGGAGGCGTGCACTACTGGGCGCAGCCTCCTGACCCCCTTTAAAAACCGCGACATCAGTGGTTGACTAAAGGCTGACCTGCCGCCAAATCCCTCATGGCAGGACGAGATGGCTGCTGCATACACCTTCACTGTTGAATGCGCAAGCCCTCTGTCCACCAATAACTGTAAGAAGGATAAAATAGAGCCTAACTCACAAGATAGGGGCTCTATTCCCCGCTCCTCACACCATCGCTGGAATAGCCACTTTGGCCTGTAACAGGCTGTGGTGGATCCAGCTCTAGCTGCCTGGATAGACTGAATAACGCTGTCAGACAATCCACCCTGTCTCAGCCTGTCCCTCTCAGGAGCCAAGCCTGGAGAGGACGGCCGAGAGTGGGTAACGCCCCGATTGCACCTGCCTCTTGAGACATCGCCCCCCAGAACTGGGGAACCGCCCAGGGCTGGCCCACCTTCATCTGTGTCATCTCTGAGTACCACAGCGCCCCAACGCGGTCCGGAGCCACTGGGATGACTGACAGACGTTCTCGCCTCACTCTCCTCAGGAGGGGGAGAATGAGACGCAGCGGTGGAAAGGCGTATAGCAGCTTCCTTGGCCATGGCTCGTGTGCAAACGCGTTCACCCCCAAGGGTGGGTCGTCGCTCCGAGCCACGGAGAACCACAGGGCACAGTGGCTGTTTCGCCGGCTGGCGAACAGATCCACTTCCGCTCTCCCGAACTGGGCCCAGATCTGCTTCACCACCTTCGGGTGAAGCACCCACTCGCCTGGCAGGGGGCCGCCCCTCGACATGAGGTCGGCTCCCCCATTCTCCAGTCCCGGGATATGGAGGGCTCTCAGAGATAACACCACCTCTGAAGCCCATAACCACAGTTCCTCCGCTGTGGTCAACAAGGCGGCGGATCGAACTCCGCCCTGCTTGTTGATATAAGCCACTGTGGTGCTGTTGTCGCTCCTGACCATTACATGTTCCCCCTGAATTAGGGGCCTGAAATGCCGGAGGACCAGGGGCGGCGCCAGGGGGTAGCTTGGAGTTGCTATAGCAACTCCAACAATTGACCTAGCAACGGCTTAGCAACCCCATTGTTTTGTTATGAAAATGCGTCTATATATATTTATACACATTCCGCGAGATCTATCAGGGGTCGTTGTAAGTTAAAGCGCAAACTGTTACTTGGCTAATGTTGTTATAATTCTCAGTATGCGAACACAGATCGAAAATGGAAAGATTTCTCACAAGCGTAAACGACCGCGATCTCCAACGGAGCAGGACAAACGTGTATGTGTGTGTGTGTGTCTGTCTGTCTGTCTGTCTGTCTGTCTGTCTGTCTGTCTGTCTGTCTGTCTGTCTGTCTGTCTGTCTGTTTGCGGCGTGGTGATAAGGTTAAATGCCACAGCATGCAAGTTGAAACAGTGAACGATCGCTATTGTGTACTTGTACACTTATGCTACGTTCACACCGGACGCGATATTCGCTTCGCTCTAAACGCTCCTATCGCATCGCTCTAGTCGCTCGTGTTTCACCGCGGCTGCCAGCTGTGTTTACTCGCATCATTCAAACAAGATGCGCTCGGGAGCTACAACTACAACAAAATGAACATATATTACCGTGATTACATTTTAATACACGTTTCTAAATGATGCCGACGTAACAACATACTGATACCGGTTAGTAAAAACCATGAATTAATGCTTTGACAAGTGTGCAGACAAGACGGCAGGCAAAAACACTTTTAAAATGCTTGTTTTCTGAATGGAGATTGGGTCGACCAGGCTAAGCTAACGTTGTATATGCTCACTCCACACTCATAACAACGGCCTACAGACATAAATAAACCAGCGACTGTATTCGCCATTGTGAAGTAAAAACTTCTT